TCACACACCTAGAGGTTTTTGCATATGAAAGAAAAACATATCAAACAAAATGATTTTTTTATGTGTTGCATGCAATCAGAGTTATACATGTTACTAAGGAACTGATTAAAACAACAGTTAACGTTATCACTTCAGTTATTCGGTTTATTTTGACTGCATTTTTGATGAGGTGGTGGCTTGTTTTTGAAGTTCTCTGCTGCGTTCATTGTTCTCGCCATCCCTGGAGCCTGGTGCACATGTCTCCACATTGTTCTACTTTACTGCCTCACCATCTGGCTTCTCCTCACAGACAATCCCTGACGTGATACCTGGCCACCAGTCCTCTCATTTTCAGGATCTTTCCATGTCTTTGCCCCCCTCTCCTGCGGTTTTCCTCCATTCACTGAAGTTTGTGTCCAGTTGAGTTTCATGTTGGCGTGCAGCTCTGGATTCGGGGGACTAAACCCATTTTCACAGAAACAAAGATGGCATGTGGTCAAACGCTGGGAATCACATCTTGGCATTGCGTATCTCAACATTGTAGAACACAAACAGATTTTTCTGTTAACATGCCATATTTCCCAGATGTGCTTTAGATAGTTTCCAATCTTCAACATGAAAATGGAAGTCGAGGTACAGCAATGCCATATGAGACGCAAAATGTGCCTTTTTTCCAGCCATTGCCTGTGCTTCACTAAAATGTGCCCGTCTCTGTGGCTTTTGGTGTGAAACATTCGCAGACGTGCCACCGAAGAACAAAGTCTCTTTTTATTTTCCGACCTTAAATTCACTCTGGGATTTGATGCTGCATTCATTTCTCTCCTGGAAAAGTCTGTGCTGTGTTTTTTTTGGGTATGTTAATGTTGCCCCAGCTTCAGGCATGTGCTTTTATTGGTCTTTTAAGTCTCCGACTTGTGTTTTTCTCCTAACCTACTGTTCGGTTATTCTTAATGGTTTTCTAAAGTCCCAGATGCAATTCTCCAAACTCGCGAGCAGGTGTATAAACATAATTTTACCAGTCATCTCGACGGAGCTCTTCTGGTGGGAATTAAATAATTGAATAACATGACAAGCCACATCTTTTTTAACTGTGTGCAAGGAAAATATTATAAGGACAGATGCTAAACTATAATTGCGGACCGTTTTCTCTGGCAGGATTGAGTTGATCCCTGTTGATTTCAGCTGGATTCTCTTGTCACTAGGGTATAAAGAACGACGTTCAAATGCAGGAAAGCGTCACACCACTTATAGCAGGTTACTCTTAACGGCTCACACTTTCATAATTCAACTCCTGTGTCGTCTGACATCATAAAAGTAATGATACCACTAACATGAACATTATGAACATTATTCTTTCAGAATGTCATGATATTACTATAAAAATATGAACCACCTCAGTCTTCTTAAATTAGAGGCTTATGATAAGACAAGATATGATGAGCTCATTTCCTGCTGTGGAACCATAACGAAAGTGATACTGTGCTTCATTTTCTTTATCTTTATCTTTTCATTTATTATTATTATTATTTTTTAAATGAAACCACTTAGCAAAGCCTTGAATCATCTTTTGCGTTAACATAAAATAAAAGCATCCCTCTATCTATCTATCTATCTATCTATCTATCTATCTATCTATCTATCTATCTATCTATCTATCTATCTATCTATCTATCTATCTATCTATCTATCTATCTATCTCTCTATCTCTCTATCTATCATCTTTTTTGGGGTGGAGTGCCATGAAGATGTGTGCATCCTAATAATAATAATCAAGTTGATGGATTCAAAGCAAAATGCTGCATTCATAAAATAAACCTACCATCAGTGCAAAAACAGTAAAACGTGCACTACAATATGGATAGTTTTGGCTCTGAATACAGATTCATGCATAACCTGCATAGTAAGAAACTGATATTTGATACATTTCTGCCATTGTACAGCATATACACTTTCAGCCCTGGTTGGAGTTTACTGTATATATTTCCTTTGTTTACTTCTCACTTCACCTTTCCCTTTCGTTAATACCTAGATGAAGTGACGGTCTCTTTACTGTGAATAATCCTTGTGCCTTTTTTTTGTGCTGCCACTCCAGAATACAAAACAGTATATAGGGAAGATTGCATTGTAATTTCACTGAAATCCATTACTGCCCTATTGGCGTGGGGACCCGCTCCTGGGAAGAGGCAAAAAGGAATTGAGCGATGGAAAATGGGAATCCTCCATGGTGTCTCAAATTAGATTGCCTCTGTTTGGAAGCGGTGTGTGGGATGTGCCTCTGTCTGTGTTTCTGAGACGGTCACTTTGGTGTGGAGTCAGTGATGGTGTTGAAAACACTATTGTATGTGCACTATTGCTGCGAACAGCAAGCTAACGTTATGGAGAAGTATTAGAGCGTCGGGGAGGATTGTGTTGGCTAACAGCTCATTTCTCCTACTAAATTATTCAGACTTGAAAAGCCGGGCCTATTCACTTGCTTTTGCTTTGGTAATATTTTACATGCAAGTCATCGGGAGAGCATGAATTATTTACTTTGTGTAGGCCTCTAAAGAAATTTGAATGTTTGTCTTGTGGGGCTGTCATGTGTGATATTTTTCAACTTTAACTTGTTCACAAGTAGTTTAACAAAAGCATCCGTAATGGTACGTGACGTTTTAGAGGCCAGATTCTCTGAGTCATCTGTTTTCTGGCAAAGAATGAGGGACGAAGCTTCAAAGTGGACACAAAAGCACCATAAAAGCATATAAGTATATTTGTTGAATATTTCAAGTCCTTTAAAGCCATACAGTAGCTTTGTGTGACGAACAGGATGCAATTGAAGTCATTTATTGAAATAAATCATGAGGCAATGAGTCTATTTTGCAAATGAATTAATCAGACTGGTTTTGAAATTATTAAATGAAAAGATCCAATTCAAAATAATGATTCATTCATGAATCAGAGGTTGCTACTCGCTACTGTTAATAACTTTTGCAAACAGCAGCTTTTAGTCATGAATTTAGGTCTCAGTGTCTCACATGATATGCAAATGCTATTTATGTGTCTATATAAAATTTCCATATATGACTTATATTTCATATGAATTAAAAACATATATCTAACTGATTACAAATTGAAACAAGTTATGGAAATAAGAAACAATGTATTACCATGTATGTGTATGTATGATTAACACATTTTGGAAATAAATGATATGTACATCAATACATGCTCATTCATATACTTAAATATAAAATAAATTGATTACAAAAACATATACTGACATACAGATTTCTTGAATATTTGTTGTTTTAATAATTGTGTAAATAAAATATTTAAATAATGCATATTGTACATGGTTGCTAAAAATCAAAATATAGATATTATTAACATATGTACATATACAAATTTTACTATGATGATTTTATTTATGTTATAAACTTATATCTTCACTTACCAAGAGAATGTGCATATGTGAAAATTATACATCGCCTTATAGGTAACATATATGCCAATATCACTCTTGATATAGGACATATATTACATTTCCATATGGCATGTAGTTTTTGTGATACAAAAGTTGTCAGTTATTTTGAAAGAATCAGGCCAGTATATTATTCAAAAATTCACCTTTTGTGTTCCTCGGATGAAAGAAAGTCATACGTGTGGTTTGGAGCGATGTGCGGTTGAGAAAATGATGACAGAATTGATATTTTTGGGTGAACGTTTCCTATAAGGCTTAAATAGCAAGTATACGTGTGCATGTAGTGTTAAAGAACGTTATGTTCCCACAAAGAGGCTGAATAGGAGAGAGAAATTGGTGGGCGTGACATGGGCCACAGGCAAATTTTACTCAGCTGAAATAGGCAAAGCTCAGGAGAAGAAGAGAGGTGGAAGCAAAAATAGAGATGGCAGGAATGGCAAGACACAGTTGGTGAGATAAAACAAGGGGTTGGAGGGGAGAGCGAGATCAAGAAAAGCTCTCATCTCAGGTAAGGGAAGTGGATTTTTGGACAGTTGACAGAAGAACACCAAAAGGTTTTTTTTTTCTTCTTTAATCTTTTCATAATCATTATGTTACTTTATTATATTACTGACATTTTTTTTATTTGCTTATCCAATATACAATTATACACAATATTATGTATGTATGTATGAATGTATATACATGGTTGTTGTTGGGTGTTTTTTATTTATTTCTTTTTATTTTTTATTTTGCTGCTACACTGTATGACATGTAAAGTTCAACAAACTAATTGTCAATATTGTCAATATTGTCAATATTCAAAATACCGGTAAAACACCTGCAATGCACAGGCATTTTTTTTGTTTTTCAAATGAATACAGTACATTTTGCCCTATTTTATTGATTTTTTTTTTACAGTGTATTTTCTCAGTACTAGCACCTGTTGTTTTGAATGCAACAAAGAGTATAAACACCTCTGCCATCATCGTGCATTAGCAACTCATGCTAGACAGCATTCCTAGTACTAAAATACTTTCATACTACTTACGTCAGAAATGTAGGTAGTTTACTCAGTGGTCTCTTATCTTTGTTAGGAACATGTCCCTGCCGTCCATACTCAAGTCTGCATTGCAAGACTGTAAATATCATTAGCCTTTCTAAACAAATCAGTGTATTCTCTGGATCAGTTGTCACTGTTATGCCCAGGGGTTGCAGGATGATGTTAGTTTTGCTGTCTGTAGAACAAGGCAGAATTGCTCAGCATATGCTCAGCAGATTGTGTTTGTCTTACCGAGCTTTTCTGCTCATTGCTGAGGATCGGGGAAATATAAATAGCCAGGAAAAAGAACAACAACAAAAAACTGTGAAACACTCTTATGAATTTAATTTGCTGAAATCTGTTCAATCGTTTGAGTTTGGCTGAGGTCTGCAAATTCCAATCTAGATTCATTTTGCTGGAGAATGTACTCATTTTGGCCAGGTCATGACTGGAGCATTCATATCCACACACAAGCAAACACAAACAACAAAAATAAATGCATTCTGAATACCATATTGAGAATTGTGCTTCTATTTGCAGATCAACGGATTATGGCAGCACTTATGAGAGACTGAATGATAAAGTGGGAGTCAAGACCGTTTTGAGTTACATCTATGTCTGCCCCACCAACAAGAGAAAGGTAAGACGCCTACAGCCTCTTATTCTCTGTTTTCTTCCCTTTGAGAGACTCCATGTTTCCCTACTTCAAATAAAGCCAGTTATTTTGAAATATTTCTTTATTTTTCTGCTTTCCAGCAGCCTATAAAAAGATACTAAAAGGCACTAAAGGAGTGACTAACCTGATCAACCTGGAGCAATTCTGCTTAGACAGACCTTAACAGTGTGGAAAGCTGATGCATACTACATTATTAAATTATATTATATTATATTATATTATATTATATTATATTATATTATATTATAATATAATGTAGTTATTTGTTAAATATTTTAACATTTTATGATCAGATGTCATCCAAAATAATTATGTCCAGTTATGTTAAAATATTCAGATCGTAATGCAACTTATTCAAAGTTTATTTTTCTTTTTTGTTGTTGTTCTCATTAAGGAAAAATTCTGAATAAAACATCTGAAACATTTCTTTCATAATGTTAATTTGGTAATTACATAATGCTCACCGAGACTGCATTTATTTGATCAAAATTCTGTAAATTGTATATTTAGCAGAGCTGTATTTTTAGCAGCCATTAGTAGAATAGAAAGCTTGAAAAAAAAGAAAACATTCTAATATGCTGATTTAGTGATCCAGAAACATGTCTTATTATTATCCATGTTGAAAACAGGTGCTTAATATTTATGAATTAAAGCTGCTTAATATTTTTGAGGAAACCATTATACTTTTTTCAGGATTATTTGAATAGAAAGCTTAATAGAACAACATTTATTTGCTGTGGGAAATCATTCTAATATGCTGATGTGATACTCAAGAATTTGCTTATTATTTAAGCTGAAATTGGTGCTGCTTAATTAAGTATGGATTCTTTATTTGAAATCTTTTGTAGCATCATGCCTTTACTGTCATTTTTGATCGATACGATACATCCACGCTGAATAAAATTTACAGTCAATCCATCAATATCCCAAAATAAACCACAGCATCATACTAGTCCTTGAAGCATCTCTTAAACTTTCATCCCCATCTGCCCTCAGACTGTTTGTGGGTTCCATTAGTACAATTTCCCATCAGAACAGATGGATGGTCTCCTTTGAAAAGCTCTAGATGTTTGTTTACCTCTGCGTTTGTGAACTGTAAGTGCACAATGGACGTGCACAGCGCACAACGTGCATCATCTGAAGGTATTGTTGTTGTTTAGCGGCTCTGTGCACAAACTGGATTAACGCGTCAGCTTATTTCCCTGACTATGTGGTCCCACACAGTCCCATTCCAGAGAAAAGGATTGACTCTGACAGATCCCATGGCTATTTTAAAATAGGGCTAAGTTTAGGCCTAACCTTTAGCACAACACTTTTCCATTTGCGAGATAGGCATGACATTTCCGCAGCTCTGCCTGAGCTCTTAAATGGGAACTTGCCAAGAATCCAAAGTGCTTTGCGCGTGGCTCTTTTAGCACTCTCGATGGAGACGAGATTACATGCTGATGCGAAGATCGCCGACAAATGAGCCTGTTTATATTTCCACCACTCTATTTGTTCTAAAACGCAGTTGATCGGGCATGACATGATTAATTTGAGACTGTGTGTCCTTTTCCTGCTGTTTACACTGACGCCAATCTCATTCAGCGGCGGGAGGCTACGTGTGGGCCGTTAACTGTGCGCTGCATGTAGATTAGCTTGCGGGATGCTAGCCTTCTGGGTGCCGGCAGATAACAGGGATCCCTCAACCCTATTGATTGTGCTTCGCAACTCTCCTCACTCCTTTATTCAGCGGAGAAACATTTGTTCACAGTTGACATGTTCTGGTGGATTGAAAA